TATTATAAATTAATGCAGCCATAACATTAAAGGTACTTCTGAAAAAAAGAAAAGTCCACTGCCAACGACAGTACAGAAGTCCAATCAAAGGTCCCTCTCCTTTTAGTCCTCTTTTTGCCATAATGTTTTTAGAAAACCAAATTTGTCATCTTCACCCACACCGGCTGGAGCCTTACATGGCCTCTGGAGCAGCCAGAGACAAGCGGTGAGGGAAGGACTGACTCAGAAACTCCGGTTTTAATGCCGTGCTCTGCTTCCGACGGCATTTCCTGGGGCCACTTAGGCCATATAGGCCTTAGGTCACTCCTCTGTATGTATCTCAGGCTCAGAGAGGCTACAAGGAAAAAAAATACTCAGATGAAGAAGAGGGAGGGTCCATTAACCAGCTCGGGCAAGTTCAAATCTCTGCTGGCCTTGCTACAAGAAAGGCTCTCTCAGAAAGATAAACAAAGATGGGTGCTAGTGTGAGCAAAAAGTTGAAAACTAAAAATTCAAAGTTCTTAAGATCAGTGTTTTTCAAACTTATCAATGGATTGTAAGTCAATGTATGAGCTCACAACTAGCCATTAACAACAAAGTACTGAACTGATCAGAGTACTGCATGAATAAGGAAAACCCTATGAAGTTTCTGCCCCAGCTGTACACAGGAGTCCTGGGTCACAATGCAGAATGGATCTCACAGGGAGATGGTCTAAGATGGCTCTGGTCGCTCTGGGGAAGAGCACAGGAGGGACTCTCAGAACCGAAAGGAACCTGAGACTTCCGCCTGAGGCAGGACCTGTCTCTGAATAGCTCCAGCTTTGCAGCTTCTGTCTGATAAGCAGGTCCTGGTGAGCTCACTAGCCTTCAAGACGTGCCATGTCACGGGAAGTTCTTTCTTACGTCGAGTGGAAATCTACCTCCCTGTGATGTCTCCAGAAGATGTCTCAGTAAGTGCTGCTCTGTGAGTCCCAGGTATGCTCTGGGGGGCTGTTGGGAGTATTAACGGGGCCAGGTGGGAGTGACAGCCTAGGACAGGCGTAAGGAAGGTCTTGATCGGGGCTAGTCTCATCTTTGAAAGTTCTTCCAACATCTGGAGACCCCTTTCACCTCACCCAGGTTCCTCTTTTTCTAAGCTATGCTTTCCCAAGACATCAAACCTTGAGTCTTCAGACCCTTTTATATTGAGACACGTCTGTGTTCCTCTTAAAGCCTGAGCAGAACAATTCAGAAATGTTGAGTGGAGTGTAAACCAGAGACATCGACTCCTTTGATCTGGTCTAGACGCTTCTATCATGACTCCTCGGAGGACAGCTCAGGAGGGGTACTGGGAAATAGCCCAGGCCACGTGCCTGCTGCAGAGCTGGTGGTGGGGCCTGGGGCAGTGTTACAGGATTTGACATTGTCCCTTCAGCATGCTAACCACAGCCGATGTACTCCTCCTGCTGAGACGGTTTCAATCTCAAAAGTTTGGGTTACACTCCTCTGCAAATTTTAGGACATGATTTCCATGAATCCAAATCAAGAAACTGAGAAAGGGCTGTAGAGACTATCTAACTCATCCTTCCATTCAACTCAAACTCTCTCCTACATCACCCACAGATTTTACTTATAACTTGTTCAAAAAAAAAAAAAAAGAATATTTAGTTCTCTTCTGTTGAGAGGAAATCAGCTCAATACAAACATAAGCCTGTAAAGCTAGGCTTTACCAAGGCTCATTGAATAATGAGGTAGAGGAGAAAGCCTCCTTAGAAATGGAATTTCAATAACCTTTCTACTTAGGTACTAAGAAACAGAGGCATGAAACTCAAATTCATAAAAATACATTTACCTGGTTTATTTACTTCTTTGACTACTATCCTGTTTACATTGCAAAGTCTCAAAATTCACTAGATTTGCAATGTTAAAAAATTAAAAAGCACAATTGGTGACGGTTGAGTACCTGGAATATTTCATCACAACAGGAGTGACCGCAGGTACATGGACTTTTGATTGACTTTTGATTAAGCCAGTAGTGTTGAGCCCTGGATAACCCTGCAGAGTGGTGAGGGAGATGACACTGCGTTCAGCCCTGGGGGCAGCAATCCTCCCCTGTGGGGGGAAGCCCAGGCCCGCCAGGTGACGCCACATGCCTGCCCTTTCATCTGGACAGTGTGGCTTCATCTTGCTCACAGATTTTCACAAGTGACTGGACTGGGTCTAGATCTGGTTTAAATCACAACACAAGTTCGGTGTCACACTGTCGGAAGAGTAAACTGTAATAGAAGTTTATCTTACAAATGAATAAAGTTACCTAGAAAATTAAAAGCAAACTATTAAGTTGCATTCTCATTTTGGTTGTAAGTTTTGGTAAAGGCAAAAAGGGAAGTAAGGTAGATTGTAAAAAATTCATTAATGAAGAATACTTACAAATTTATTTGCTAAAATAAACTTTTCTCTGGAATTAAAATGTTTCATTAACATTTTGGAGAAAGAGACATTGAGTGATTATTATCTCCTACAATTAAAAAGGCTCTTAAAAATTAAGTAATTCATGCTATAAAAAATCAACACATAAAAGCACAATAGGAGGGAAAAACACCATAAGGCAACTAAATTAAGATTCACCATTAATATTCTGGTGACCATCTTTCATGCATCTCCCCACACTCTCTCACGTTCTCTCAATTTCTCTCTTTAAATGGGATCATGAAAATCATCTTTCAGGATGGTTTTGATTGAAGGCACAGAAATAATATTCAAATGAAAAACTGCAGTATCAAGGCTAATGGGAGAAAGGTGGGACTAAGACATGGATCTAAGATCTATGACTTAGTCTAAGTCATGCAGGCATTTATGCATGGAATGGAAATATGATGTCTCCGGTACTTTGGCGTCTAACAGGTAACATGTCCATTGAGCATTCTCTAAAGTATCTGATGTATGAACTGAGCATCTGCTGATTCTGAGGGGCTGCAAGGTGACCATTAAATTAAAACTTTCTAAAAGTCCTCATAGCGACACTATTTGCTGTGACTAGTTTTCACTCATTTGTGAAATTACCTAATCCAGTGGTCGGCAAACCGCAGCTCGAGAGCCACATGCGGCTCTTTGGCTCCTTGAGTGTTCTAACGCCACTTCTTCAATAAATAGACTCCCTCAGACCGAAAACCACTTCTACGCATGGTCCATGAAGTTTCAATCGCACTGTACATTTGCCCACATGTGGTATTTTGTGGAAGAGCCACACTCAAGGGGCCAGAGAGCCGCATGTGGCTCACGAGCTGCGGTTTGCCGACCACTGTTTTAGTCTGATGGGCCAGCATTGGAGGAGGCAAAAAAGGTGACTGCAGGTGAAACAAATATTTCCCTCCAAACTGTGGTTTGAATCACAGTCACTCACACAGCTCTTATGACTCTAATCTATTTCATGAAAGAAAATGATAAAGGCAGATGGCGATCTTACTCACAGAACTTAAAAATCTCAGCGGAGCTAGTGGCTAACATTTATTGAGCACTTATTAGTACCAGGCACTGTGCTGAACACTTCAGGTGCTAATTCTCACAACGACCTATGATGCACTCCTACTGTTATCCTTGTTTTAGGAAGGACTGAGATGAGCTTCAGATAAACATAACTTCCCCGCTCAGGGAATCATGTTCAGGTATGTCGCCTCCTGAACATGAGCAGTTAACGCTGTGCTGCAGTAAAACTGAGCCAGCTGGGCCCAACAGAAACAGCCGGCTCCTGATCTGTGGCTGAGGCTGAAGGATTTGAGGGTTGAAGAATGCCTCCTGAGTATCACACCCCCAACACGTCATCCTTCAGGAATGCCAAGACACTTCCTACAAGCATCTAGCCAGCGGACCAGGTGAGGTGATAAAATCATGTCACTGAATGGGGGTTCTTGTCCATAGCTTCTATAGCCGAACAACGAGCATTTATTTGAACCCCTTACATGAGCTTTGCTGTGACATGGCAGACGTAACTGAACGTGAGCAGCACGTGAACCACCGGTACGTTTGTGTTCAGACTAGCGGCCAACGCACAAATGTGTGAAGGGGCTTGGCCCTCGCAGCCCAGGCTTTGTCTGGAAGGTCTGGAAGGTCGTTCAGCTGTCTGGACCAACTAGTATATTATGCTATTATTATTATTATAGATTTGGGCAGTGTCCCAGGGGTGCTCCCGTCTTGAATTAGTTTGCCTGAATACTGGTAAATGATTGAATATTATCCTACAGTAAATGCCCAAATAAAACAAAACCAAACCAAAACCGTATTCTATATCTTACCCCTATGGAAAGCTAACCTTGGAAAATCACTGGGTCAAAATGGACTGGAACAGTCATCTAACCCAATGTTCTATCATCTGAAAACATCCCCCTACAGCAGCCCTGACAAGTGACATCCAGCTTCCTTGTCCTGGGCACTCCCCACAGCGAACCACCTCACTGGTAAGTAGCCTCCGACAGACACTCTTCCTTTTGCCTTCCTGTAACCTGCTCTGTGGTCCTCATTTTGCTTATGGACACACATTTTACAGTTATTTCCTCCTTCCTTTACTCCTGACAGTTTTCCTGATTGCATCTCTGCCTCTTTCGTGCAGGCTAATCATCGGCATCCTGTTCCTGGACTGCCGGCCAGGGTGCCGGTGTGCCACCCAAAGCCCCGTGCGTTAAACCAAGTGACGTCCGACAGGAGCGTGACCTTTAGAGGGGGCTGTTCCTGCCAATGATCAGGACACCAACGTCTTTACCCTTCAGTTGTACTGGTGCCCTTGGCATTAGCTTCACATCGCTGGTTCACTCTAACCTTGTGGCTAATGAGAAGCCCTGGATCTTTTCTCAAGTGAGCTGTTGTGGCTGAGCGAGGGGAATTCCAATCTGAGGGACTGTTCCTGAAAGAAATGGTTTTGCTAGGAGTGATCCCATCAGAATCAGTATGAAACTGGTGAAAGCCAATTCTCACCACCTTATTAAAATTCCTCTACCTATTTTCCTGGGATCTGGCACATGCAATCCAAAAAACAATTTGTTACTTACTCATTAGCATTCAAGCTAGCTGTGGCTCTGATGATCATGTAGCAGAGTGTGAGAGCACTGAGGAGGCCAAAACTGGCAATAATAAACCATTCTTCTGTTGACAAAGGAAAGGGAGGAAATCACTCAGGGGAGAAGGCTTAAGTCAAATCGATGTAACATTCCCTCAAAATCAACGACGCAGACGTCACGGAGGTGTGAGCCCAGACTGGCTCAAGGAAGTGAAGCAGGAGGAGGGTTGCCAGAGAGTTACTGACTGGAGAGGTTAGTGGAGGAGTGGTGAGAGCTGCAGGGAGAGAGGAAAGTACGGCCCACACATGTCTTCAGTCCAGGTCCTGTGGTCTGTGAGAAGTGTGGCCATCAACAACCGCGTAGTGAAAATATGTGGATAAAATTGCACATGGATGTAGAGTTCTTTACTTGTTAAATTAAGTGACAGTGAAGTGGACTAGCCACACATGAGACCTTTCCTTCTTCATTTGTCACTTCTGCACAGTCATGCCATTCATTCTTGGAGGATGGCTTAGAAATATGGCGCGTGGTTCCCGGGTCCTGTGGGCAGTCTGCAGGTGGCCTTCCACGGCATTCGCTTCTACTGTCTTTCCTCTTACGCGTGGGTCACTCCAAGTCTTTACTTAAAAAGCACAGGCTCTCCTGAGGACTGCCCTTACCCCCTCAGTGCTGGACGTGGCACCGGCTGGTCTGGCTCTGCCAAGCTTTAGGAGGAAGGTAGGTGATTCACAAGATACGTGGCCCAGCACAGAGTTGAAAGCATCTGGCACACAGAACCCTAAGAATTTTTATCTAGTCTCACTCTAGGTCCAGGAAGTCAGTTTATATTTTCCCTGACGTTTCAAAGTCTATATTGCAATTTTCCAAATACGGTATTTACTGAGAATCTTGAAAATAACCTGAAAACCAATCTGATGTCCTAAATGTTTTCTGGAGAATACACTGACTAGGGCTGGCTTAACCAAGTATCACACAGTAAACTCCTACATATCTGCATTAAGGCAGACAAAAGAGATTCCTGCTTGAAATGACAGTTGTTTATAAGCAAAAGCTGTGTGCAACTTGGTTGTTTCTCAATCTTGTTTTCATGAATCTTACAATTTTGCAAAACAGTGTGTGCCTAGGAATTTTTCTAGAAGAAGATGATTCTACTTTCACTGGATTTTAAAAATGGTGATCTTTAATTCTCTGCCCAAGTTGGTTTAGATTATCAAAAGGCTTGGCAAAGTCATTCTTATTTTAAATAACAATGCAGCCACTGCTCCTTGGATTATAGATTTCTCATTAGAGTGAATTTATGAGGTTTTTAAGTAAAAATAAACATTCAAGTACCCATACAAAATGCACTATTTTACATGCATATATTTTAAGTTAGGAAAATGTATGCTGGTATTTAAAAAAAAATTGAGATGATTGGTCATCAGTATCAAGAAGCTTAACACAGCATTTTGAATTTTTTCTACTCAGAGACTTTTATACAAGGAAAGGAGACTAACTTTTAGAACTTCAATATCCATGCTTTTGATTTCTGAGTGTACCATCCACATATGCGTGGACTTTCAGTGACAAAAACTAGTAATCAGAAGGAAAAAAACACCTATATCGTAACAATGCCGGAGGGCTCAGGGGTGTGTTAGCAAAGGTGCACTGCAGCTGGGGCCTCTCACCTCTGACCCCCACGGTGTAGTGGGCGCTGTCTGAAAGCATTGTAGTTACTATGGTGCTACAGAGCTTCGAGGGCAAATAGAGGCAGCTGTGGTGTAATTTAACCACATGAATTTTATTTATTAGCATGCATAAATTCTTCTCACGGTGATTAATTTGATGAGTGAAGTAGTATCTTTTATCATCAAAATAGAAAATTGTGAAAGGACATTTCTACATAAGACATAATGGAATAATCAGTAGTTAATGTTGTAGTAGGTGCTCAATAAATGTTGATCAATGAAAGGCCTACAAAAACTCATGAATAAACAAACAACTTTCATCTCTTTTCTTACTACTTGGCCAATTAAAAAAATGTAGAACATAAAACCTAAACACCAACGAAGAGAAATATGAAGTGCTGTTAAAATAAATCACTTGGAAATGGTCAGAAATGAGTCAAACCTTATGGAAGACTAGTTTTACTTATTGTATAACTGAACAAAGTCTCCTTGAGTTTAGACAAATGATAGAATAAAACCTGGCAAATCATTTCCTAATAATTTCTGGATGCTGAGAAACATATATACATTAATTGAACAGTCCACACGAGTCTTATTATGTTCAAGGGAAAAATATTTCTTAACAGCTTTACTATTGTGCTGATTCTGAATTAAGCAGAGTCTCATTAGGTTTAGGGCTTGAAGCTAGAGGCAAGCAATAGCACATTCTGGGAAAGGCAGCACCAGAGTGGTGATGAGATGAGGTGACGAGTTGTTAGATGAAAACAGAAGGAAAGAACAGAACTGAAGAAAACAGCGGACTGGCCACAGGTGAGTGTCCACAGGCCACACGCACGCCCCCAGCACTCACACAGACTTAGTCTGCCATCAAAACGCTGGTTTGCTTCTCTTTATCAATGGTTCGGCAAAGATGATATTCACAACTTGCCCAAGAGCACTCAAGGCAGACTACCTTTGGCTTTTCTCCGGCCTTGTGTACAATCACACCCAAGAGGTGAGTGCCAAGAGACAGCACTTCATACAAAGTGCGGAACATGGGGAGCAGCAAGAGGCCACCTCAGCTAACCCTGAAGCTGTGAACTTTTAGATCAGATTCTGGGTTAGCTTCTCAGGAGGCTATGCAGCCTGGGAACCGGAGCCTGGTGCTCAGTCACCCTCCCCACGCCCTGCAGGGCCTTGTGAAATGCCTGTCTGCAGCACATCACTTCAAAACATGTTATAAACAGCACTGAGACAAACCTCTCAACAAGTGCTGGTGAGGGCAGCTAGTCATTTAATTCCACACAATTACACAAGGTCTCTTCTATAAAGCAAGTTTCTTATCTCCAACAGCTGTTTTAGCAGAAGTACCCGGCGGTTACAGACTAAGTCACTGCCTGTGATAACTCAGTTCTCCTCGGAACTGTCAACACACCAAACAGCAGCAGCAAATCCGCTGTTGGCTGGGCACAGGGCCCACTTACTTGTTACTGCGATGTTGATCTCTCCCGTCCTCGGAGTGAGCTCCCCGTCCTGAGGGAGAGGCGAGATCCCCGACGTTCGAAGCGGCTCGAGGCCGAGGGAGTTGTCGTTGGCGAGGTCAGCGAGGGGTGATCTTCGGTTAACGGCCTGGGTCCTGGTGAGCCTTTCCATATCAAGCACTACGTTATCAGTGCAGGGCAAGTTTGGCTGCAAAATATTTTCAGATTAGAAGTACTTGTAAGAATGACAATTTCTAAAGGTTTGACACTGTGTTGAAATGACTTCAAGTTTTTTCCACATGATTTCCTCTAATTTTTCTCTCCATATACCTTTTCCACTCTCACCCAAGAGGTTTTCTTTAAAAGAAAAAGGTAAAAAAGATAAAAGAAAAAGGTAATTTCCTCCCAAAAAGGGTACGAAGGAAAACCAAAATCCATTGCAGAACTGAGAAAACTGGATTACATCACGTTTATAAAGAAACAAGAACCGTGTGGATGTGGCTCAGAGGCAGAGCACATCTATGTATATAAAAGCCTAAGTCACTGTCACGACCAAATGACTGGACAGGTCTACCAGTCACTATGACATGCACTGACCACCAAGTGGCAGATGCTCAATGCAGGAGCTGCCCCCTGGTGGTCAATGCACTCCTACAACCAACATGCAGTGGCTGGCCAATGGCCCACAGTCTCCCTGCCCGGGCTCCCCCCGCCCCCCGCCCATGTATGAATTAGTGCATCCGGCCTCTAGTCTTAGTATAAAGCTGACCAAAAGTCAAGGATGTAACTGGCACAATGCTCAAGGACAGCAGATAATATACTAATAACTTCTCTGTAAAGCCCCATTTATCTAGTCGTCAGTTTCAAAATATCTTCCTCCTTTAAATGTAAGTAAAGCTTAAAACCAAGAGCAGATAATGCTGAAAAGACTTTTGAACTGTAAGAAAACAGTTTCAAAACCTCAGTGTCTGATCCTAGAGAGGCAGAGAGCTGCCTTGGGCCAAAGCTTACCAAATGAAAAGTGATTTAACAATATGGATGCAGATAGTGTGTTAGAAGCAGGGCTGGGAATGGTGGCCGAGAGAAGCTTATGAACAGAGAAGTGACAGCAAACCAAACCTCACAAATAGCTTCCTGGGCAAAAAATTTCATTCTACATTACCCCAAAGCCCAACTAAAAACATGAGAGCACAGCGTAATGACTGGGGCTTATATTGACAGTTAGGCTTATTTTTTATTTTATTTTTTACATACAAGGAACCCTGGTAGCTTGTAATATACTTTAGGAGGATTTTCATTAAAAACAGAGGAAAAGTATTAGGAGTTCAATTAGAATTAAAACAAACAAACAAAAAACATCCAAGGAGGCTGGAGGCAACCAAAGAGGCTAAGTTAATATTTTCCAAAGTGCCTTCCACATGCAGACACTATAGCAGCTCTATGTTAAACCCCACAAATGGGGGAGACTTTGTCCCCCAGGGGACATTTGGCAATGTTGGAGACATTTTATAGTGTGACCAGGAGGCCATGTTCCTGGCATTTAGCGAGGCCGGGGACCCTGCGAGGCAGTCCGAGCATCCACGGTGCTGAACACCCTGCTCAACTCCACCAGTGACCGCTGAAGACAGGCTAAACGGGAGGAAGGCCCTTTAGGGCTGCACTGCCCAGTCTCCCGAGAGCAGATGCCAAACAGGAGTGCTCAGCCTGCTCTGAGCACCAAGCTGCAATGGGGACTCATCTGTTGGGTCAAACTGAACTTTTTGCTCATAAGGAGATGATCCAGGCACTCTTCATTTTTGAGACCAGAAAGTATTTTTTTGTCTAAAAAGCAACAATCCTGGATGTATACTTTAATGAAGGAACCGTAACTGTGGGAAGTCTCTGAGGTCCTCGAGCTTAGCGCCCACTCGCCCACCAGAGCTGAAGAGCTCTTTGTGCCCCGACCAAAGCCACTGCAGGGGTCAGGTTCGCCCAGAGCTGCCACCCCCCACCTTCACTGCTGCCACGTACCGACGCCCAGGAGAATAAGCCAATTCAAGAGGAAGGAACAGAAGTGATGACATAGTTTTACATTATGCTGAATGCAGGAAAAATTGCTACTGGAATGAAGCTAAATATCTATATTCTGTTCCTTTTCCAGTTCTTCCCCACATGCCCCACCCGACAGAGCCGCCCTTGGGGGACAGCACAGGCCTGCCCCTCTCATTGGGGGATTCCTGAGATGGGTGGAAGACAGGCGCTGTCGCAAAACCACGGGTGGCCACGGAGCCAGTGTCTCTTCGTGAGAGGTAACCATCCACTTGTGCTATTCAGCTACACAAAACAGGCAACATACCACAATTCCCAGGGCTTTCAAAATGTTAAGTTTGCACATAGGACAGGTACAATGTTCACTAAGCCAGGGATCCACGCAGGACTTGTGGAAAACATGCCTATAAGAAAATGGAGAATTGTATCAGAAATTGTATACTGAATATTAGGTCAGAGTGCAAAGAAATTATTTTAACATATAGCTGACAGAAAATCTCCCGAGCCCAATCTATAAATATATAAAAGTCTAAGTGACCGACTGTCCGTCTGTCCGATTGACCAGTACATACAAAGCGCAATGGAAATTTAAAAGTAAATGTTGAGCCGAGACCAGTTTGGCTCAATGGATAGAGCGTCGGCTTGGGGACTATCCCTTCCTCTCTGAACAAAATCAATAAAATATATTTAAAAAAAAAAGTAAATGTTGACTCACGCATGCGTGATGCATATAAAGCTCTCATTGGTGCCAAACTATTATAGACAGAGTACACGGTCAGTTATATGTTGCTTTTCTCTTGAGTTCAGAGAGCCTGTGACTTTAAAGTTGTAAATACTTCACCACCAGGGAAATCAGTCTAGCACTCTGAGTGTTTTTACTCTTAATGTGGTGTACAGGGAGACATTAGAATCAGTTTAATCACTTTATCAGTCATTGTTTTTATCAATGTTGTGTTTGTATCATGTTTTTTCTATCATGCTTTGTTTTATATATGTTGTTGTTATTAATCAATTTATATATATTTTTTACATACATTTTACCAATTTTCTTTAATCTCTGATACTTCTATTATAGAGAAAGGGTGAATAGTGATATTAAAATATTGGTTTAATATTTCTAATTAATTTTCTTTCAATGGGCACAAATCTGTGCACCGGGCCACTAGTTTTATATATTGATGAAACTGTATAGTGAGAATTGATAAGTAGCATTTGGCTGTTTGGTCTTTTATTCCACCAAATTCCACAAAAAATTTGAGGAAACTTAGGAAATTAAGAATGAAGGCAATGAATTACACTCTATAAACCGGTTATGTTTTCTGTAATGGTTAAATCAGAAAAGTAGAATTTCAAAAAGACATTAAATAAAAGTTGAATGAAAAGAGCTCGCTGTATCATTATTAATTCACTAGAGGCCCAGTGCACAAAATTCATGCACGGGGGTGGGGGGAGGGGCGCGGGTCCCTCAGCCCAGCCTGTGCCTTCTTGCAGTCTGGGAGCCCTTGGGGGATGTAATACTGACGACATCCAAGGGGAGCGGACCTCAGCTGTAAGCAGAATACCCTTAGCGCTGCTGCGGAGGCAGGAGAGGCTACCGCCCCCGCTGCTGTGCTTGCCAGCCAGAAGCCCGGCTTCTGGCTGAGTGGCACTCCCCCTGGGGGAGCACATTGACCATTATGGGGCAGCCACTCCATTGAGCGTCTGTCCCCTGGTGGTCAGTGATCATCATGGCAACTGGTTGTTCTGCGGTTCAGTCGATTTGCATATTAGCCTTTTATTATATAGAATTTCATGGAACTCTGTTTAAATGTCATTTAAACATTACTTAAACCTTATGATAAATGTCTGTACAAGTTACAGGGTAGCTGGGACTATTTTTAGGGATGAACTGTATTTTAGAATCAGATAACACTTAGCTAGCAGTTTCAGCTGTAATGTTACAGGGACAGAGAGGGAAAGTGATTCTCTCTTATTCAGAGGAGTAGAAAGTCACAACCTGGCGATTGGAAATCAGTCAGCCATGGAGGGTTTTACAATCCCCAAAAAAGGAACTGTGTCCTTTAAGAGGGAGAAAAGGCGTGAGGGAGCGACAGCGAACAATGTTCTGCTCCAGTGCCCCTCACGGCAGCTCTGAGGGCTGAGATGCAGATATGTGAGCCGGGGCCTGGCCACGCACACATTCCAGACGCTTTGGGAGGAACTGGAATTTGAGTCTTGGGATAAGATGAAAGAAATTTTGAGAAAGATACCAAATTGAACCATGGTTTGTTTTAAAACTTTGTTAATTTGAATCTAGCTTATAAAGTTATATACAGCTATTTAAACAAGAGCTGTAAACTCACTGCCTCAATTGGATTTGAAAGAACTATCTGTGCTGACAGCTTCAGCCTGAACAATGCACACCCACTCACCTACCGCCCACACGGTGGCCTTGCGTCCATTTCGGGTAAGAGCAAAGCTCTTGGAGACCGATTTATCAATCTAACCCGAAGCTGCCAAGGATGCACTGAGCCAGAACCCGACAATCCCTGAAGGCTTGTATTTCAATCTGAAGGATTGTACTGAAGAGGTGAAGTCACCAAAAAGTAGCTGAGATCTAAATACTGGGTATCCCCCCAACATGTAAACACACTTTGAATCGTTATCAATTCCAATGTTTCTTCCCTTTTCAGATTTAACCCGTTGGAATAAATGGTTCAAAGTGTGCATACATTTCTGGGGACACCCTGTACATGTGGTATTCATAAGGCATCATCATGCCCACTTCCTGCTCCTCCCATCTTTGTCTGAGTGCTCCCAGAGGGAGATGAAGGCCTGGAGTGGAGACTACCCCTGAGTTAACAACTGTGCCCAACTGGCTGCAATCCAACCAAGACCAGAACCAGAACCAGGTTTCTGTTCTTTTTGGGGATAAAGACCCCGTTAGGTTTGACATCAAGGACAGATCCTCCCTTACAGGGTGCACCTGCCTGATGCCTGGCCCAGGTTTCTGGGCGGACCATGAACACCGAGGGTCTAGTCAGTGCTGGGGAAGGGGGCGGGAAGGCTCTCAGCCAGTTCTAAGTAGGTAGACAATGGACTTTGGCCGGAGGACAGGTGACCTCCCACAGGCCATCCTGTGCAGGGACGGGGCTGCTGACTTTGAGCAGTGTCTGCGGGGACCGCAGTGTAAACAAGCAGCAGTGGCCTGGAGGTCAACAATGGTTTGGCTCTTGCCTTCCACTCTCGCCAGCATGTTTGGCTTCCCCTTTTTTGTCCTGCATTTCTTTCTATTTCTGGTTATTCAGGAAGAACAAAATGGCATACTCCCATATTTAGTTTTTAAAGCGGCAAGAGCTGAGTATTTCCTGCGCATGCCTTCCTTTAACTGAGTTACAGATTTTCCTCCTATTGGGTTTGTTGATTTATCAGGAAGTGTCGGCCTCCTGCACTGGGGCAGCCTACTGGACAACAAAGACTACCTGGTTCCCAAGGTACAAGCTGAGAACACTTTCCTTCCCTAGACAAGTCAAAATCCAGAAGAAATACTCTTCAAAAAGCCCGACCTTTCCAGAGACTGTCCGTCCTTCACGGCTTCCTAGCCCCAACCTCACCCGGCAGGTGGCTGCCCTGCTGCCCCACAGCATACCCCTCTCTTCTGAAACGAACCCCAGCAGCTTTCCTCTCCCCCTGCTCGCCTTTCTGACAGAGCCCCCCCCCCCCCCCGGGGCCGCTGGAGGATCGTGGTGACACTGCCTGCACCTGCTTCTTCTCTTTACCCTCCAGCTTCCAGCTCCTCAGCTCTCCTGTCTCACAAGCTCAGCCTGGCCACTCCCTTCCTCCGGGTAAAGCCCTGGACTGCCATGGTCTGACCTGGGCAGATGCCCTTTCCGACTGGCAGCTGTCTCCTCTGAGAGCCGGGGTGGGGTGGGGGTGGGGTGAGGAGCACGGGACAGCCGTCGGAAGCTGTAAGTGGAACCTGTGTACATAGAATCAGGACGTGAAACGAAAGGTGCTATAAACACACACGCAGGGAGAATAACATGGACATTTTACATGGAATCACAATAATGGTCAGAACCTGAGCGTGCCAGCACCAGAGGGACCCTTGCCAGCTTGCAGGCAGCCACAAGCATCCAGACGCCTCAGGGTGACACCTGGGCCAGTCTGACCTCACAAAGAAGCCCCTTCTGTCACAAAGGCCTTGATAAGACAATAACACAATGAAATACCCACAAAAGCAGAGAAGGGCCCTCCATGTAGGGTGGAGTGCTGTCCTGGGAAGGAAGCAGGTGTGCTCAGGACAGGGACGTGGGACAAGGACAAGCAGAGCACACTTCACCAAGCCCTTTATTCCTGTAGAATACTCAGCGATACAGAATGTGAGGCGCACGGCACGTAAAGAACAACCCCAGGCCTGGGACATGGCGCCTCCTTGCTACCCCCACACGCAGCTAGCTAGAGCTTGCGGACCGCACTGGGGCGGGGAGGAGTCTACAGTGAAGGTGACTTGCTTTCACAGCTCTGCAGCCTCTTGGTGCCGTGCAAGAACCTGGCGAACATAAAAGGATCCTGGGTTATTCAAGGTCAGAGACAAGCACTGCCCCGCTGGGCTGGCAGCAGGCGCTGTTGTGAAGAGGCCCTCCCTGAGGGGGCAGCACAGGCCACGTCGGCCAGCAGCCAGCTGACTGACCCATTTTAGCTCTTAAAGTGGCATCTTTGGCATATGTTTATCCACAGGGCAGCACTCTGCTTATGGAAACTATTTTTATCTTATAAAAATGTGGCTGACCTTTAAATAAAAGAGGGCTAAGGTGAGTTTTTCAGTTTCTAGGGCAAGCTGGCTAACAGCCGAAGGATGAGCAGCTGTCACCCTGACACAGTGGGAGGCCCCAAAGCAGCGCCAGCAGCACAGGGATGCGGGAGGTGGAAGGAAAGGCCATGCACAGAGCCAGCAGCCCGGAGCGTGCTCTCCACAGCGGAGTCAGTCCAGGCTCCACACAGGCTGTTAACCTGGGGACGGACGGACAGACAGACAGACAGACATAACAGCACCTGGGCTCTCCCTCTCCCCTTCTGGGAGAAGAGGGGATGGGGTGCAGATCCCGCAGGGGGGCTGGGGGTGGTTTTGAGAGCTGTGAGAACGGAGCAGGAAGGGCCTGAAAGCTGATGAGCAGACAGAGGAAGGGGGGGGGGAAGCGGTCAGAGCAGACCCCCACAGGGGGAGGGCAGGGCAGTCAGAGCAGACCCCCACAGGGGGAGGGCGGGGCAGTCAGAGCAGACCCCCACAGGGGGAGGGCGGGGCAGTCAGAGCAGACCCGCACAGGGGGAGGGCGGGGGGGAGGGGCAGTCAGAGAAGACCCGCACAGGGGGAGAGCGGGGGGGGGGGGGGGGGGGGAGGGCGGGGGGGAGGGGCAGTCAGAGCAGACCCGCACAGGAGGAGGGGGGTGGCCGTCGGAAGACAGGAGAGGAGGCAGTGCCATGGAGCCAGGTGAGGAGCAGCTCAGCTGTCCATTAGCCACTGCTTTCTCTCTGAAGCTGATGGCCACGGCAGGTGCTGACATGAGGAACAAAGGACAAGTGAAGGTGCTTAAGGAGAACAAGTACAGCTGGAAGCGCTCTGTGAGGACCGGGGAGAGCCAACCGATCCCGGGCTCTGTAGCACCGGAGGCAGATGAACCAGAGCTGCCTGGCAGCAGGAGGGAAAGCAGCAGCAGCAGCAGACACACCTCTACCCGGAGTCCGGGAGGAAGGGCAGGTGCGGGCGGGGGACAAAGTGAGCAGCGCACAGGCAAGGTGCTGAGAGGGAGCTGCTGAAGAGGCGCTGGAGAAGATCTGTAGTAAAATGAGCGCCTGTGCAGCCTCCTCCAGTCAGTCCCTACTGGGGACCCAGAATTGTTAGCTCTGTGCGGGAGGGGGTGCTCCTGGCATCTACTGGCTGGAGCCAGGGATCCTGCTGAACGTCCTGCAGTGCACAGAACAGCCCCACCCCGGCCCAACAGTGAACCATCTGGTCCAGTGGTCGGCAAACTCATTAGTCAACAGTTAAATATCCACAAAACATCGATTGAAATTTCTTTGAGAGCCAATTTTTTTGAACTTAAATTTCTTCTAATGCCATTTCTTCAAAATAGACTCGCCCAGGCCGTGGAATTTTGTGGAAGAGCCACACTCAAGGGGCCAAAGAGCTGCAAGTGGCTCTCGAGCCATGGTTTGCTGACCATGGATCTGGTCCCAAATGTCAACATACCATGGCTGAGAAACCCTGTTCCAGGCCAGAAGTTGTCAACTTGGGTCCCACAGAATGTTCTCAATGCGGTTACTGTTCATTAAGCCCCAGAACCGTGCATTGCTACCATCGCAGTGAGGTGACGTGTTTGGCTGAGCAGGGCTGCCGTGTAGCTTAGAGAAAGCTACAACTTAAGACTAAGAGTAACCACCTGCTCCAATGCAAAAAGGGCGCTTGGACTCAGGTGCCCTAGCTCTGAGTGTAAAGAAATGCAGTTAAGTTTACCCAAAATCTGATACTCAAAAACAGAGCACAGCCCTGGCCAATGGTTCAGTGATTAGAGCATTGGCCTGAGCACCTGGTGGGCTGTGGGTTCGATTCCTGGTCAAGCTCAGTTGCAGGTTCAATCTCCAGCCCGGTTGGGGCACATGCGGGAAGCAAGCAATTGGTGCCTCTCTCTCACACTGATGTTCCTCTCCCCCCAATGGAAAAAATATTTCTGAGGGAGAATTAGCCAAAACAAATAAATTTTAAATTTTAAAAAGCAGTTAATAGCTGACCACGCTTTATCACATATCCTGCCGACCTTTTCCTGATTTGTATTTGTATGTGTGTTTCCTTTCACTCCATGCTTTAGACTGTAAATGATTACAGAGAACAGAATACTGGAAATGCATAATTTAATTTTCTATAGGGCAGCTCACATTTAATTTTATAGGTTTATCTTCATGTGTAAAGTAATTGTTCTTATATTCCATGATTTTTTAAAACAAAGATCTTTCTAGGCTCAAAATAGACCACTTTGTGAATAAGTAAAATAATATCAGTAACTCATGGAGACAACTCCTATTAATTATTTTATTCATTCCCAGGCATTGAGAGGCTCAGCGTCATGGGGCTGTGTTTTAAAGCAAGGGAGAAGGAAGAGGAAAAATCTTTGATTTTAGGCTTCTCAATAGGTACTTCCTTATTTTTCCAATCAATGGTGGGACCGTGTATCTTCATGTTTTACATTCCCAGGCTCCCGGTGGGAAGCACCGTGAAGGGCTGACACGCTGGCACAGAGGGCGTTAGGCACTGAAGTGCAGTGAACCCTCCCTCTGGGGCCGGTATGGCCTCTGCCAGGGGCCCAGTAGTGCAGTGGACCTCCGTATCTGCTCTGCCATTCCTTCTTTTTTTTAAAAAAAAATATATTTTATTGATTTCAAAAGGAAGGGAGAGGAAGGGAGAGAGAGAAACATCAATTATGAAAGAGAATCACTGGTAAGCTATCTTCTGCATGTTCCCTTACTGGGGATTGAGCCCACAAAAACCCAGGCATGTGCCCTGACCTCCTGGTTCACAGGTCACACTCATCCACTAAGTCACACTGGCTGGGCATCTCAGCCATTTCTGAATAGCATGGCATTGGCAGGTACCATTGGCTACACTACCCGCCATGGGGAGAAAGCACTGCCCCTTCCAGGGCATGGGGAACATGGACTGCACAGCGCAGAGCTCCTGCCCGGAGGCGGCATGCAGCCCCCGTCAACCCAAGGCCCGGCTCAGAAAAGGGCAGCAGGTCCCTAGGGCTCTGGCACCTGCCCACTGCGGAGGCATTATCAGATGGACTAGGGACGTGCAATAATTTAAGGAGAGGAATGGTGGCTAGTTTTGAAACCCAAGGATTCACAGAATTAATATTTTTACATTCATGCTTTCTAGTGACCAGAGGTCTGTCCTGTGTTTCTCCTAACGAGAACGCTGTGCCATCGGTCCTGGCAGTGCCCACCAACTGCGGCCCGCTCAGCGCAGTGCAGGGCCTGGCCGCAGGAAAGCCTGGGCTACAGTGGCTCAGAGCAGTCAGCACCTCCACACACCAGCAGGGTTTTTAAACCAAGGAGGTTGACATACTTGCAGGGGAGAATCCGGACAACGTCGTTTTGCTTATAGCTCTCTATGCAGACGGCACAGTGATCGAAGTCCGGGTCTGTTTCCTGCAATGCAAAGCATAGGAACCGAAGTCACGCAGCAGCAAGAAATGTATAAACGTGGAGAAACAATCCAGACAAGCACTTTCCTGTGGCAACTGTAGGAAACGAGTGATCGTGAAGTGAAAGTTATAAAAACAATTTAATGTTTCTATTTGCTTAATCATATCAACCCAAATTACATCTAAACCAACCTATTTTGTCTTTATACTATGTTGTAACAATTAATACTAATTCTGTCTGTGTAATATCTTAGAAGAATCCCAATTTCCCCTACAACACATCACCTGTGCACTGTATTGTGTTCATCACCCCAAATCAAGTGTCTGTCCCTCACTGTTTGTCCCTCAGACTCTCTTCACTGTCCCTTCTCCCCCCAAATTCTAATTTTTTTCAAGATTCAAATGAGCTGTCACCCTGACCATTTTCCTGTCTTCTTCTCATGTCTGGCCGCAGTGCTCTTCTGGCTCAGGAGGTGTCACCTCTCACTAGGAGTCGCCCGAGGCTAAGCACAGGCAGAAGAGATGAGCCCCAGGAGATGGCTCTCTAGAAGCGCACCCCAAGGACGGTAGCAGATTTGGGGTAGGAAACTCATGGCTCAACTTGATACTGGATCTTCATCCGGACTCAGGAAGCTGTAGTCAGGAACTCGGTCATCCAGAATTACCGATGTCCTTCTCCCTGTTTGGGACGGTTTCCCCGGCTTGTCAGTAAGCAGCATTTCTAAGAACCTAAGCGGGGAAAGGTGGCACTGTTGGTGTGTCACCGCCGCTTGGCCTGGAACTCCGGGGTGAGTCTTGGAGGGCCTGGAAGACGTGCACTGAGAGGTGTTGGCTCTAATGAGGGAGGAGGGCTCTGGAGCCTGAGAGACGAGTACAGTGAAATTAACGTGGCAGCTGAAGGTGGGCCCAGAGAGCCCCCAGCTTACAGTGCAGCTGCTGCCTTGCTGCTTATATTCTCTGCAAGTGGCTGTATTTTTTCCTCCCCGAGTGTACAGTGAGGTTTCCTGACAATGCCTCCACCTCAGGAGCTGGGCCCTGACAAATCACATGTGGTGGTTGGTGTGAAGGCAACAGGAATAAGGGAGTCAAGGCAACACAGTGGCAGGACGGAGGCCGGACAGTGGCTGAAATGACCCTCCCCAGCTCGTCGTTAAAACATTAGAGTGGGAGTGGGTGTGCGGCAGAGGGGGTTTGGCTTTGTGCTTCCGGAGACGCTCTTCTTTCCGTTCCAGACAACCGGGACCGGACGGAATCAGGGCCTAGGTTTGCGTGGCTGTTTGGTCCTCACGGAGCAGAAGCAGGGCTCTGGCACACCTGAGCTCTGAGCTGGGAGTTGTGGTGAGTGGTCTCAGCCACAGCCTCTGTCACTGCCTCTTCGGCCCAGTCTCCCTACGCCATCAGGCCTGACCCTTCTCGCCAATGCTGAGCCCACACGAAAGCCCCTGTTCACCGAGACTCCCGTGACATCTGGATCTCTAGGTTTCCCTTTAATGATAAATAAAACACAAAGGAGACCTGGCAAGGTGTGAGAAAGCATAGCAAAAAAACTGCAAGAGAAAGAGAGTTAGTTACTTACAAGGAGCTTCCACAAGACTATCCGCTTATCTCTACAGAAACATTTCAGGCCAGAGGGGATTGGCATGCAACATTGAAGTGATGAAAAGCAAGGACCTACAACTAAGACTGCTTTACCCAGCAAGGTTCTCACTTAAAATTGAAGGAGAAAGAATAAGAAACTTCTCAGAAAAGAAAAAGAAGTTTGTAACCACCAAACTAGTATTACTAGAAATGTTAAAGGGCCTGCTTTAAAAAGCAGAAGAAAAACCAGAAGAATAAAAGAAAAATAAATGGCAATAAATATGTACCTATTAACAATCACTTTAAATATAAAATGGCCTAAATAGTCCAAACAAAAAAACATAGGGTAGCTATAATAAATGGATAAAAAAACCAAGAACCATATATATGCTGTCAGCAAGAGACCCACCTCAGAACAACAGATACACACAGACTAAAAGTAAAGGGATAGAAAAAGATATTTCATGCAAATTCAAGGGGGGAAAAAAAGCTGGAGTATCAATACTTATATGTGACAAAATAGATTTTAAAACAAAGGGTATAGTAAAATACAAGGAGGGTCACTATATAATGATAAAGGAAGCAATCCAACAAGAGGATATAACCCTTGTAAACATTTGTGCACCCCAAAAGAGGAGCACCTAAATATAAAAGGCAAATCATGATAGACATAAAGAGAGATATCAACAGCAATGCAGTCATAGCAGGGGATTTCAACACCCCATTGACATCAATGGATAAGTCTTCTGGACAGAATCCACAAGGAAACATTGGCCTTAGATGATACACTAGATGGATTTAATTGATATTTCCAGAGCATTTCACCCCAAAGCAGTGTTTTAAGTGAACATGGACCATTTTCTAGGACAGACCACATATTAGGATATAAGTATCTTCTCTGACAATAACAGTATGAAACTAGAAATCAATCACAAGAAAAAAACTGAAAAACATACAAAGACATGAATGGGTTAACAGTGAGATCAAGGAAAAAATCAAAAGATAACTCTGAAACAAACAAAAAAATGAGAATACAACAATCCAAAATATGTGGACACAGGGAAGCAGTCCTAAGAGGGAAATTGGTAGCATTACTGACCTATCTCAAGAAACAAGGAAAATCTTGCCCTGGCTGGTGTGGCTTAATTGGCTAAGTATTGTCCTGTGTACTGAACGATCTCCTGTTTGATTCCTGGTCAGGGCACATGCCCAGGTTGTGGTCTCATTCCCCAATAAGGGTTGTGCAGAAGGCAGCCAATAGATGTTTTTCTCTTTCCCTCTCCCTTCCTCTCGCTCTCAAATCAATAAAAACATATATTAAAAAAGAGATAAACAAGAAAAATCTCAAACAACCTAACTTTACACTTAAACTTGAAAAAGAACAAGAAATAAAGTCAGTAGAAGGAAGGAAGTAGTAAAGATCAGAGCAGAAATAAACAAATAGAATCTTAAAAAAAAAAAATACAGCCTGGCCAATGTGGCTCTGTGATCGAGCACTGACTCAGAAACCAAGAAGTCACCAGTTTGATCCCCAGTGGGGAGGCATGCAAGAGACAGTCAATGATTCTCTCTCATCATTGATGTTTCTACCTTTCTCTTTTTCTCCCTTCCTCTCTGAAACAAATAAAAAAATATTAAAAAAAAAACAACAACTAATACAAAAGATCAATAAAACAAAAAGCTAGTTCTTGGAAAAAATAAACAAGGTTTGACAAACCTTTAACCAGACTCATCAAGAAAAAAAGAGGACTCAAATAAATAAAACGAGAAATGAAAGAGAAGAAACAACTGACACCAAAGAAATACAAACGATTGCAAGAAAATAAAAGCTGTGATATGTTTACACAATGGAATACAACTTGGCTGTTAAAAAGAAGGAAATCTTACCTTTTGTGACAGAATAGATGGATATAAGCATTGTGCTAAGTAAAATAAGCCAGTCAGAGAAAGACAAGTACCACACAATCTCACTCATATGTGGAATCTAATGAACAAAATGAACTACAATAGAGACATTCTCATAGCAGAGAGCACACTGACAGCTTGTGGGTAGGTGAAGGAATTGAGTAAAACAGAAAAACCCCCACCACGTATGTACACAGACAACAGAGTGGTGATTGCTGGGAGGAAGAGGGAGGAGGAGGGGCATTGATGGGGTTGATAGAGGAGGGTACAGGGTGATACACTGTGATGGACAGAGATTGACTTGGGGTGGTGAACACCCAGTACAGTGTCCAGATTATGTATTGTGGAATTGTGCATCTGAAACCTATATAATTTTGTTAACTAGTGCCATCCCAATAAATTCAATAAAAAAGAAAAGAAAAAAGAAGTTATAGGAAGTCAACACATATTTTTGGCTATTAGTGTATAAATTCTCCATCAGAGTTCTTCCCAAAAGGATACTAGATGTTAGCAGAAGAAAACTGTTGAATACCATAAGTAAGGTAATGATAAGTCATCCAGTAAGCTAATAACAGCAAGAGCATTAAAGTCCAGGAAAGGTAGAGAACTATACGAGGGCCTCCAAATGGCAGGCATAGTAAGAATAAGATTTCAGCCCAGCTGGTGTGGCTCAGCGGTTGGTTGAGTGTCGACCTATGAACCAGGAGGTCACAGTTCGATTCCTGATCAGGGCACAAGCCCATGTTGTGGGCTTGATCCCCAGTGTGGGGCATGAAGAAAGCAGCCCATCAATGACTTTCATCATTGATGTTTCTATCTCTCTATCCCTTACTTCTCTGAAAGGAAACCTGGTGAAAGGAAACCTCCAATGCTCCAATAAAAAAAATATAAAAAACATAGTAAGATTTCAAAGAGAAACTAGTTTAAAATAAAGCATTAGAGTATAGTTGGAAAAAAATAATAGACTAACAAATGAGACACAATTGATATATTCTCTCCCACTAAATCAAAAGCAAATCTACGTTATGCTTTAACAGTGTTAAAGTTACTTCATTACTGTACCTTATCGCCCTTTTTCACTGTTCTGGTTGTCAATTTGCTGATGGCTTTCTTGGCTGCATCTCCAAGACGACGCTATGGACATTGCAAAGAAAAACAGACATTAGTGCAAGATCTCTGAATAATGTTATTTTAAAATAATTAAATGTATAACATTCCTAGTATTCTATATCACTCTCCATGTCACAACATATGAGAGGGCTCTAAAAGAGAATTAAAGGTCAGAGAAACTGGCAGTTTTCCCAGAGACTCAGTATTCTGGTTGAATAATTAAAAAGGGAGTATAGCTAAGGGGCCAGATAGCATAATCACCACTGCATTTTGTATTCAACAAGCATTGGAAATATTACAGCACTATCAGACTCTACTTGTTGTACATGTCAGAGCTCCCAATGGTTTCTTAATTTGCTCCATGATGCCTTAAGCTCTATCCTAGTGAAAGGAAACCTCCAATGCTCCTTGAAATAGTTCTTCACATTACCGGGTGTGGGAGAAGGACGTGGTCACAATTCTACTTCTGTCCCTACAGTGCTCTGCCATCTTAGGAAGGTCTAGCTATCTTTCCAGGGTTGAGTCATGTTCATTTATCTGAGAGTTAACTCAGAGTCTCTACAGAAGGCTAGGCTGATGCAACTTTTTGCCAGGCATTGATAGCTAGCACTGCCAGACACCAAGAACCCAAAGATGAAAAGACAGCGGACCTCTGATCTCGCAAAGCCGACTGAGTTGGGGACAGCCTCGTACGCTGGCAGCACTCCGAGGCAGGCTCGAGGGGAGAGGGCAGCGGAGCCATGCCAGGGAGGCTCTGAGGAAACGCTGCTGGGGCTCAGGCGTGGAAGACGGAGCAGGAAGACGTTAGATAAGGAAAAGCACAGGGTCACCAGGGGATGCTGACAAAGAATCTAGCGAAGACCAGAGGTGAAACGTGCAGGCTGAGCATTATTCCCTGTTCAGATCATCAGAATGCTCTGGGAGTCAGAGCACCCTACTAACAATTACACCGGGACGATAGGTGCAAAGGCACATGGGACAAATGGCCACTTGACACATAGCTAGATTGTGAACTGTGAAGCTAAAGAAGGAACACCTTGGTTCTATCCTGAGGATAAACAGTCATAAAACATAAAAAAATTCGGGGAAATTAAAATATGCAAAGAAAATAATTTAATGAACTTCTCTGCATCCATAAACCAGCTCCAAGTACCATTAGTTTATCTATATTTTTTAGCTATTCTCCCTCTTTATTATATGAGGTTTTCAAAGCACATCACAAGCTTGTATAATTTCACATATAAAGTCTTCACTATATTTAACAATGGGCTTTCATCTGTGTCACTGTCTTATCTAACAAAATTAACAATAATTAATCGACCTTATCAAATACTCAGACTATACTACAATTTTCCTAGTTGTTTCCAGAACATCTTTCAATCGTTAGCTTGTTTGAATCAGGATATGAAGTCCAAACACTGCATTTGGTTGCTATGCCTCTCAAGTAAGTCTCTTTTAATTTGAGTCTCCTCTATAATGTATGTACATATATCCTATATAATAAAAGGGTAATATGCAAATTGACCTACCAGCAGAATAGCTGGTCGCTATGATGTGCACTGACCTTCAGGGGGCAGATGCTCAACGCAGGAGCTGCCCCCATCCCGCAGGCTCTGATTGCCCGATGGGGAACAGTGAACCGGGGATGGTGGCAGCAGACACAGGTGACACCAGGCCAAGGCCCCCACCCTTCCAGTTGTCCCCCACACCAAGTGCGACCAGCATTGGGGGACGAGACTGGTGAGTGGGCAGGAACGGCCAACTTCTTGGTCCCTCCCCCCGACCGGCAGGCACTGATTGCCTGATGTGAATAGGGAACCCGGGTGGGTGGCAGCAGGGAGATGGGGCCAGCAGCTGGGGAAGTTGTCCCTGATCTCAGGCCAGGCCTAAGGACTGTACTTCGTGCAGAAATTTCTTGTGCCGGGCCTTTAGTATAAATATATATGTAAATAAATATCAGCCTCATGAAGGTGTAACTGACTTGTAATAAACTGCATATACTGTGTACAATGTGATGTTTTTACACGATCTAAAAAACTGTCACTATGATCAAGATAGTGTATCTAGCTCTAGCTGGTTTGACTCAGTGGAGAGAGTGTGGGCCTTCGGACTGAAGGTTCCCAGGTTCATTTCCAATTAAGAGCTTGTACCTAGGTTGCAGGCTCCTCCCAGGCTTTGTTTGGGGCCAGTGGAGGAGGTAATCAATCAATGTATTTCTCTCACATTAGTATTTCTCTCTGTCTTTCCTTCTCTCTTCTACTTTCTCTAGGAATCAATGAAAAATATTCTCAAGTGAGGATTAAAAGGAAAAAAGGAAGATAGTGTATCTATCATTCCACCAATGCCCTGTGGTTCTTCTCACTCCCTTCTTCCCCCACGCTCCCACCCCATTGCCTGTGACTTACTTTCTGCTACTAGAGCTGCATTTTCATGAGTTTTACATGAATGGAATGATATTTACATATACTTTGTATATGGTTTCTTTTACTCAGTATAACTATCTTGAGATTAATCATTTCACCTCCAGAGTTAAGTTTATTCCTAAGTATTTTATCCTTTTTGGTGCTATTGTAAATGAAATTACTTTATTTCCTTTGGGATTGTTTGAAGTTAATGTCTAACAGGACATATGCTGAAAGCAGTTCTGAGAACAGATGGGCCAGGTGTGGGAACAGAGACACACGGGCCAAAGCTGACGGCTTTGTCCGGGCTGCGGAGGGAGCAGAGCTGCGTTAAATGACGGGGAGATGCAGGAAGAGCAGCTTTGGGAGGATTCCGCTTTGGATGGGTGGCGTTTAAGGCCAAGGAGAAGGAGAACTGGAAGTGATGCCGGAGATGGCAGAGTGAGTCCTGGTGGCTTGATAAGAGCTGCTCAGGGGAAGGACAGGAAGAAAAGCCTGACTGACGTGGCCTTCAGCTGGCACAGATGGTGGTGCTGGTAATTTTTAAAACCAAATGTCCTCATAAAACTACACCGAGCAGCTTTAAGAGTAAAAGCAAAGTCCACAGACAGCTTCTTCAACAAAACCAGGAGAGGGCATGGCACCCCGACTGCAGTGGTGGGGTCCGAGCACCGCAAGGTCACAGCGTCCTGCATAGACACAGCATCAGCGCTGGCTTGGCAGGGAGGGGAGGAAAGGGAGTCTGCTTTGACAGGGATGGGACTCCTAAGGACCGGAGTTCAGATTGCTCAGGCTCCTTCACAGGGAAGTAAACAGAACACCACGCCGAATCCTCTAAGGAGCCGAGATGAGGAAAAGCTAGGGCTTCCCCAGACCTGAGGATTTCCAAAGTACCCAGCAAAATTAAACTCCACAAGGGAGAAAAGGGAGAAACAGCTGAGACATCAGGGAAGGAATCTGGGAGTAAAGGCAGAGATGCTTCCAACCCAGAGGTTGTCTCTGATCGCAGCGTCCTGGAGGGGCCTATGGAGCCTCAGCAGAGGACGGCACGCCACCCGCCCCACATGCAAATGTATTTACAGGACTGCCACTCACATGTAAGCAACATTCTAAATGCCACAGGGGAGAAAACGAACCAATAATCCCACAGACAAAGAAGGCACAATGAATGTTTTGTTAAACTGCAGTTCTTTATATATTCTGATATGTATCCCTTATCAGATATGTTATTTGTAATAATTATCTTTTAAAGAAATTTAAGTGAGAAAAATATCAAGTACTTATATACTGAACACACTTTTCCCTCCCTCCCCCTCCCTCCCTCCCTCCCTCCCTCCCTCCCTCCCTCCCTCCCTCCCTCCCTCCCTCCTTCCCTCCCTTCCTCTCGTATTTCCACATCCACTGATGCCATCTGCCTCCTGCCAGGAGGACACCTCTTTAATGCTTCTGAGGTGGAGGTCACAGGTGATTAATTCTTCTAGGTTGTATAGGCGAATTGCACCTTCACATGTGGGAGATATTCGAGGGGCATATAAAGTGAAAGGTGTTGCTCTAGCATTCTCCCTGGTGGTGATCTCAGCAAGACAACTGCACTGTCCTCAGGCCTAGCCCCTTGTGAGTTTTTGGCTGACATGGCCCCCATCTTCTGTTGGGCTCTAATGACATATCTGTTGGGTTGCTTGAAGCTGTCCCAGAGCTCACTGATGGTCTGCTCATAGTTTTGTATAATTCAGCATTTCATTTCTGATAGTTTCTATGGCTATGACTAGATGTTAACGAATCATTTCTTCTACAATGGCTAATCTGCCATTAATATAAGGTAGTTTACTTTTCCTTTCAGACACTAGTTTTTATCGTTACAATTTGGATTTGGATTTTTTTCTTGTAAACATTTTTGCTGTTTCTAATTAATAATTTGAATATATGTGTGATAGGCAGAGTAATGAGTTCCACAAAGATGTCCAGATCCTAATCCCAGGAACCCATGAATGTGTTGTTCCATGGCAATGGGAATTAATGTTGCAGGCAGAATTACGGTTGCCAAAAGCTGACTTTAAAACAGGGAGATTAGACTGGATTATCTGAGTAGGACCTATGTAATCATGAGACCCTTGAAAATGGAAAAGTACAGGAAGTGGGCAGCTGAGAGATGGCAGTGAGGACTCAGCCTTGAAGATGAAGAAAGAGGGCCATGAACCAAGGCATGCTGGGGGCTTCTCAAAGCCGGAAAGGGTAAGGAAACAGATTGGTGGCCAGAGCCACAGAGAAGAATGCAGCCCTGACAGCACCTTGATTTTCAGCCAGTGAGACCCATCGGGAGCCCTCCCCCCGATAAATTGGGAGGTTTTGTGGTCTGGGACCAGGCATCGTTGCCTGGGCACTATTCCTTCGAATCCTTACGGATGGTTTTCTCCCAACCTCAGGGAGCTTCCTCACACACCAGGGCTGATCAATAAATACTCTGCTAAATACTAACGGCGGTCCGACCCTCTACAGAACTGGGGCTTTGCTTTCCCTGAGCATTTCTCTGCTCTTCGGTAACTGTCCTGTGACTCTAGCCACCTCATCCGAATTCCAAGTCAGGTGGTCCACTGAGCTCTGCTCTGGTTTCCTCTCGGTGCA